ACACATGCACAAAGGAGATATGACCCCACTGACAAGCGAGCGGTGAAACGCAACGTTACCTGAATAAAATGACTTTTGACTGAGTTTGAACATTGTTAGAAACATCTGGAATAATTTAAGTACATAACTCAACAAAATACATAACATATGTCTACTGTTTATAGACATTTTAATGCAGAAATGTTACATTAACATATTACAGCTTTAATAATATCATTACAGTTCTAACTCATTGACTCATTACCACTTAACTCATTATATGTTCCTCACTTTCTGACTGTAACAAATTAAATGTCACCAATGTTGTAAATGTTGCTTAAAATATCTCCAAACCGCTGACATTACTTCTCCTTGCCTACCTGCTCAACTAACAGGAGGTAATGTAACATCACGCTGCCATAAAGAGATACTGGGTGCGGTATCGGACTATAAATGATTACGAGTACCAAGCTTCTTGACCCAACACAAACTTTTCCAGCAAATTATTTCAGAGCATCCAAGTAATAGTCCTCATTTACATCAAATTGATTAATTAAATATAATTCATTCAACCAAGTCCCCATTGGAATTGCTGGCTTGCAGTTATTCCCAAAATGGGGCTGGAGGCCGGATCATTGTATTTTTTCCTGCAGAAACGTATGGTTAAGCTGGTTACCTCCACCAAATGTCACTTTGTTTCTAGTTGTGAAGATCATGCAGATCAACACAAATGTCTCACATTTACCCTTCAAACTGTGTGATTTTATTCTCACTGGAACAACCTGCCATTGATTTTTAAGGAATAATACCAAAAACATTCACTTTCTCCCTCAGTTTCATTGCAAAAATTTAAGATGATTTCAGGGAAGATCAGACATTGTAGGCTGCAACAATATGCAGCAAATACTACTAATAATAATAAATAAAAAGAAGCACTTTCTAATAATCATCTTTTCACCGGCTGGCGTGCGCTGACCACCCAGACTAAGATCCTTTGCTGCAGGATTTCAACCAAGAACATGCAACTTATCTCTGCAGTCTGAGATGATCCTGAGGCTGCTCAGTGGGAATCATTCTGGCACAGGTGGAGGGAGGCGGGCTGTATATATGCTGCTGTATAAATATACCGTGTCTATTGAAATGGGCAGATAGCAGAGCAGCCGTATCAACACACAGCGTTCCCCTGAGCCCGTGATAGATTACTCCAGCCCGTTTGGGAATATGTTTGTGCGTTTTATGCATATTCCTGTATCTGCGTGTGAATGTGAGTATATGTGTATGGTATTACCCTTTATCAGAACCTCCCAGCCCTCCAGACATTTAATTTACTGTATATATGGATCATTGTCTGACAGCCCAGTCTATATTAAACCTGTTTATTTCCATCCATCTCTCTGAATAATCCCTCAGCTGCAGCAGCTCTCCTCTGTCTACCAACGTGAGACTCGCAGGTCTGTTGTGGTGCGTCCCTCTCTCTCGCTGCCATACATTTTCAATGTAATGGTGCTTTCTTTTATGGATGAGATGAGATGAGATCTGGGAGCCTGTCTGCCTTTGTGTGAAGCTAATCAACCTGTCTGCCTGCTTGCCTGCCTTTGCATTGTTGTTCAGCAGAGACTAAAATCAATTTTGCAACAATTGCAGCAGCACAGTAAAAGCAGCAGCAGATTGCCTTGTTCCCAACAGCACACAAGAAAAGAAAAACCCACCAACATCCGTCATCAAGATGATACTGGTCTTCTCTCCAAGAATATGCATGGAAGAGAAAGTGGAAGAAATAGTGTTTGAATATGGATGAATGACCTGCATGCAACACTGCCAGCAATGGTAGCAACGTCTTTATCCACACCAAGGAGATAGTAAAAGTATTCTTACGTTATAAAATAGCGTTTTCAGAGGTTTATATACTTGGCCACAGTCGATGGATTGTCCTTGACAAGCTGTCTAAAAATACCCTCGAACGAGGACTGTGAATATGGGAGCTGAAGAGGAGTGTGTGGAAGATTTCATGCTTTAAGATGATTTGAAGAATCTTTAAAATGTGAATCTTATGAGTATGCGCTGCTGCAAACTGCTTATTTCCCTGTAAATGTTATCAAAGGGAGACACAAGGGTAGAAAAGAGAAAAAAGGGAAGTGTCAGTTGTATTAAACAGGGATTAAACAAAAGAAGGGAGACCTGTAATAAAAGCTTAAAGAATCAAAAGGATTTTTTTATAGAACAGAAAGCCGCTTCTGAGAAAATAATTAATGAACATTTTACTGTGGGATATCAGGCCACCCTTCTGTACTGCTTAATGCTGAAATGAAAGAATACAGGACAGTCAAAGGCCTCATCATGCTGAGAGAGGAAATGAAAACACTACAAAGGTGAAGGCAGTGGAGGTTGAAGCGGTGCCCCCAGTGCTACTATGATGGGCCCTAGCTACCACATCGTCTCTTCACATGATCAAATACAGACTCAACATGTTACCCAGCAATCATCACTTCTTTAAATGACAAAAACACCAAAGAAAAGAAGAAATTATTTATATAATTACATTTTTTAAATATAGTTTATGAAGACATAAACATTTAATTGTGTTACTGCTGTTGACTATTATATCCAAAAACCTTGATTTAATATGAGGTCTTCTTTGAATACAGGTGTATGTCCGAGGGGGCCAACCCCACGGACCCCTAGTGCAACCTGCACTGTCTATATTTACACCCCTGAGTGGAAGACTGCAGAGAAAGAAGAAAGGCCAAACAACCAAGAAATATAAAAATACATTTAGATATATGAGGAATCACAGGTGGCAAGCTTCGCTGTACTTTTGGGAGTCAGGGCAAAGCATACAAACATAAATTAATCATTTATGATGTAGAAACAAACAACAATAGATTTGTAAAGCTGTAGTATTATTGGTATTTCAGCCTTCTAGAGTTCCTAAAGTAAAAGTCCTGTTGATTTCGTGACTGCCAGTTGAATCTTTGGTACAAAAGATGTGCAACTGCATTAGCAAAGATGTGTTTTTTTGAGTCTGTGTACATAAAAACACAAGTTGAGAGGTCAAATAGGACTCCAAAGGAACATTTCTGTAAGAATCATCCAATCACAGACCTTAAAAGTTGTGTTTGCTGTTTACGACGAGCAGAAGCTGAAAATTGACCTTTGTATGAACTTAATAGAACATTAAGTTTGGAAACTCTGCTGTGTTTTTTTTTCTCAGTTGTAATGAGGAAGTTTATCTGAAATTGGAAAAAAAAGCTCTGATTCACACCTCTGCATCATAGCAATGGCGGCTGAGGCTCATGGGTGTCGTAGTACAGCGAGGTGGTCGATAAGAGAAGAAAACATGACATCAATAGTCAAACTAATGGCTGTAACAAACAAGCAGTGTTACAAAGGAGACTCCTCTGTTACTATGTCGAGGAACATTAACGGTTTCCTTAAAACAAAACTTTCAAATGGGGAATATACAGTCATAAAAATAATTCAGTGGGTCGTCTCGCTTCACAGCTCTACCGGGAGTCTTACGCTGCCCCAGCAGAGGAGGTAAATTAGCAAAAGCTCATTAAAGACGGGGTTTATTTTTGCAGATTGAACTTTGGTGTAGTGGTGCAGTGACTATGGGAGTGTGTTAATATCTCAGGTGAGTACTCCTGCCACCACAGGGAGGCTTTGAATCATCATTATTTTCACCAGGGAGGAAAGGTGATGATGGCCCCGCTGTGCTGGCTGAATAATGACACATACATCGTG